ATAAGAGTTATATTAGTTAAACTATTATGGAATTACCAAGTTAGTTTTTCAATATTTTTGGAATGTCTAAACCTGTAATTATTATTTAGAATAATGTTATTTTTTATCCAACCCTAACTATGAAACATGTTTTTTTGCCAAGTAGGATTTCGAAGCGTGCAAGACTGTCACTTAAACTTGACGCATTCTGCAATTATATATAGAGGAGATAAGAAGAAAAGAGATAAATTATTGTGTGTGGTCCCCCCATCGACCACAAAATACATTTTGGCCCCATTTAATGCAATTTGCTAATTGTTATGCACTCTAAACTTAGCCGATTTTGCGGGATGTGATTGAATAATGAAAATTGTCACACAATATTTACTTTCTTGGATTGAGATGAGATTGACCCCATTTGACGCAAATGCAGATTGCGGGACACACTGCTTATCAAATATTGGACGATTAAATTACTGTGAAAACTGGTAAAATCGCTTATTATGTGTTATATGTGATGAAAACAATTTTTCATCATTCTAACACATAATCAACTCAAGTTAACCACGGCAACATTCTAAATTATTCATTCTAAACACATGACGAAAATATCAGCCTATAATTACATCGCATTTAGTTTGATTTAGTATCATATTTTGATTTGGTTTATTGTTTATTGATTATTTATTTTACTTATTTTTACGTAGTAGAAACTTGATTTATCCACGGCCGGACAAATCTTTCACGTGTGATCTTAAAGATGTTTTCATCATTTGAGAAACAGCACACGGACTACATACTCAAATCGCCTAATTATTCTTGCCCCTTTTGTAAAGATATTATTCTCCAAATTTTTGACTAGTAGTTGCACAATGTTGCTACTCCGTTACTCATAATATAATTTACTCTATATGGTTGTTATACCGCAAACACTTGAACCGCTGGACCGCTCCTCTGCGAACCGAGTTATGTCTCCTTGATCGCCGGTACCTGCAAAGTACGCCGGGGGTGGTCCCGGCGTGAACACTCCGACGCTCAAATCAATGGTGGTCCAAAGAGAAAACGGCAGAGTAACGAGAAAATTTTTATGTGTGTGTTGTGTAAATGAAATAACTTGCGCCCCTTTTATAGATGAAGTCGTCTAGAGGTTGAAGAGTTATTGTCATACTATGAGTCTTCCTCTGGATTAGGTCAAAATCCTAAGAGTCCTTGATGTTGCAAACTTCTTCATGACTCGAGCACGATGCTACCTCTAGGCCCTGGTCCCCTCAACGGGACGT